TTGAGCTATGGGAGTGAGTTCAGTTCCAGGTCTGAAGGGTGACCAAGGCCATAGTCTAGGGATTCCACCAGTCTCTCTATCTGACAAGTAAGTCTGTTTTTTTTTTTTTTAATAATTTTGAGTTTTGTTCCACATTTTTCTCCCACTCTATCCAGAACCTTCTACTATGATCCTTTTCTGAACAGTTGATAGTGGTAGCTAGGTACCATCTAGTTCTTCTGGCCTCAGGGTTGTGGAGACTAAGGTTTGTAGGGTTCGTTAGTCCTTTGGACTAATTGTTTCTCTGTGCCTTTGATTTTCTTCACTTTTCTTTGCTCTGGATAGGGAGACCTATAGCTGCACCTTAGATGGCTACTCACAAGCTTTTAAGACACCAGTCACGACTCACCAAAGTAGGATGTGTTTGTGGAGACATTATCTTTGTGGACTATGTTGTACCAGTTGACCTTGATGTCCCATGAGACTATAGTCCTGAGTCCCCGGGCCCGGTGACTTACTCTATTAAGGTTTTTGGTTATAGCAAAGAAGTTTCCATAACTTTGCCCTGATATGCTCTACTATATTTGTGGGTATATTTGCAGCATATCTAAATACATATCTAGAAATATCCTCTATCCAACCTATTTATATTTGTCAGTACAGTTCCATTCTCCTTCCTACCTCTGTTCAGCTTCTATGTTTCAATCTATGTGTCCACTTGTAGATTATTGATTGTTATTACTGTTATTGTAGGATCATATATGAATTAGTATTTACCTCTTTTGCGTTTAACTCTTGTAATCCTCCCAGCACCTTCCTTTCTTTGATCATTTTGTGCTGAATTCCTCCTTACTGTATATTGCCTTCCTTTCACCCATGTTAATATATATCTATCCTCCAGTTAGTGACTTATCCTACCTTCCCTCCTGGAACCTCTGGTAACCATCAACGAATATTTCTTTTTGTGTGAAAAGCTTTTCTTGACTTTTTACAATAGTTGTCTCATTCAATATTTGTCTTTTTGTGATTGACTAATTTCACTAAGCATAATTTCCTCTAGGCTCATCCATGTTATGAGATATTTTGCAAATTTATCATAGTGTTTTAATGTTGTGTAGTATTCCATCATGTGTACATACCATGATTTGTTTATCCTTTCATCCATTGATAGGCATTTAGGTTGTTTCCATCTTTTTGCTATTATGAATAGTGGTGTAATGAATATAGGTGTGTATATATCTGTTCATGTCGTGGCTCTTATTTTCCTAGGATATATAACCAGTACTGGGATTGCTGGATCATATGGTATTTCTATTTCCAGCTTTTCAAGGAAGTGCCAAACTGTTTTCCACACTAGTTGCACCATTTTACAGTCCCCTCAGCAGTGTGTGCAGGGTTTCAGTTTCTCCACACCTTTACCAGCGTTTGTTGCTTTCTGACTTGTTGAGCTTTGCTATTATTGTTGGGGTGAGATGATATATCATTTTTGTTTTGATTTGCATGTCTCTAATAGCTAATGCTGTACATTAGCTAAAAAAACTGTCTCTTCCCTTTCAAATGGATTTGGCAAGCTGACCATAGGTGAATAGATCTGTTTCCACATTCTCAATTCTGCTGTTTGTCATTGTATCAGTAACAAGCTGTTTTAACTACTGTGGCTGTATAGTATGTTTTGGGATCTGGGAGTGTGAGACTTCGTACTTTGTTCTTCTTCTCCAGTAGTGTTTTACTTATCTGAAGCCTCTTTTCTTTCCATATAAAATTAGTGATTGCTTTTTCCATGTTATTAAAGAATGTTGATGGGACTGCGATTGGGATTGCATTGAATATATAGATTGCTTTGGGTAGTATTGACATTTTCACAATGTTCAGTCTTCCTATCCATGACCATGGTATGTTCTTCTATTTATATAGGTCTCTTATAGTTTCTTGGAGCAGTGTTTTGTAGTTTTTTGATTGTTTGTTTGTTTTGGTCTTTTGTGTCTCTGGTAAGATTTATTCCCAAGTATTTTATCTTTTTGGTAGCTCTGGTAGCGTAGTGCCTAAGGCATTTGACTGCTAACCAGAAGGCTGGCGGTTCAAACCCATCAGCTACTCCTTGGAAGGAAGATGGGGCAATCTACCTCTGTAGTGATACTGCCTCGGAAACCCAAGGAGGGGTCGTTATGAGTCGGGTCCGACTCAATGACACATAACAACAACAATGGCTAATGCTCCTGAGCATTTCTTCATGTGCTTGTTGGCTACCTGAATGTCTTCTTTGGTGAAGTGTCCATTCATGTCTTCTGCTCATTATTAAACTGGATTATTCAGCTTTTTGTTGTTGAGGTGTTGAAATTTTCTATAAATTTTAGAGATTAGCTCCTTGGCCAATATGTCATTGCCAATCCCCACCCCTACCCCCAATCTGTGGGTTCTCTTTTTACTCTTTTGGTGAAATCTTTTGATGATCTTAAGTGTCTAATTTTCAGTAAGTCCTAGCCATCTATTTTGTCTTCTGGTGTTTGTACATTTTTAGGTAGGTTTGATAGTGTATTTTTGCTACATATAGGGCCCTGAGTTTGAGATGAATTATTTGTATTTCTAAATGTCCAATAAATTATAATCTGTAACATGCATATAAAATATTTGGAAGTTTACTCAAAGGTACCTGTCATTTCAGACCAGAAGCACAATGACAAATGTTGGAATAAATTTGGTCACCAAAATCTTATTGTTAGTAATTACAAGTACCTTAATAAATCTACATGCATCATTGTTTACACAAGGTAATTGTGAGGAATAAAGGAATGTATTTGGTAAGCTCTATAGCAATAAAGTAGCATAATGGCTAAGGCACTTGACTGCTAACCAGAAGGCTGGCGGTTCAAACCCACCCGCCACTCCTCAGAAGGAAGATGGGGCAATCTACTTCCATAATGATACTACCTTGGAAACCCAAGGAGGGGTCGCTATGAGTTGGGTCCGATTCGATGGCACATAACAACAACAACAACAATAACAACCTTTGTGTATTTAGGTTCCTTATTGAACTCAAATACCAATCTAACAAAGAAAATAATACTGATGCTTTTCAGATGTTTCACTTTGATAAGAAATTTAATAAAAGGACATTAGAAAAATATCCACCAACTATATCTGCTGTAGCAATGTAATTATTAATACCCCTTTCCTTCTCAAAAGTCTCCCTATTGGAATGATAAGTTATATAGTGACTTTAACTATATTCACTGAAAAAGAGGAAGACCCTCAATGAAATTGATTGACACAGTGGCTGCAACAATTGGCTCAAACATAGCAATGATTGTGAGGATGGTGCATGACTAGACAGTGTTTTGTTCTGTTGTACATAGGGGTACAACAGAACCGATGGGTTGGAAATGACTTGATAGCACCTACAAACAACAACAACAACAACAACAACAACAACAACAACAATAATTATATACTACTTCTTAGCACCGGAGGTTGTTAAGTTACTACACGTACCTGTTTCTTGTTTTATTCCTGGTAATTGTATGATATTGTATATGAAGTCCTTGAATATCATATGCACTAATTGAAATCCCAGTTAACTTTTGAAGGATAAATTGGGGATTTGAAACAAATTATAAAACTAAATAGCAAACCCATATATAAAAGTTATATCCAACAAATCTTTATTTAAAATAGGCTATGTATGAATAATTTAAAATAACTAAGTTTAAGAGATTATTATTTAATCATACCTTATTCAATTTGAAAATTTGGGCTCAAAGCTACTTTGAAAAAAGGGTCAACAATTGAACACCACAAATAGGAATTTATGCACTAGTTTATTTATTTCAATAAGCAATTTATGACATAAAATTCCTGATAAACATCTTTTCCCATCTCTATACAGTCATATGTACTCACATAGAAAAACAACAACTCTGTAATTTGGTATTCTAAGGCACACTTCATAAGGGGGAAATTGTAATGTAGAAACCAAGTCAATAAGCCAGATTCTTACAAAGACATATGCTCCTTCTTGCTGTTTTTCTAAAAAAATGTAAGTTGAGTACCTTTAGAAACAGCATAATGCAGCATAATAATGACACCAGTGTATGTGACTTAATGCTACTTCCCCAGTCAAGGAAGAATGAATGTTTTAATCTGACTTAAAGCAAAGCATTTCATTTTATGTCCAATACTATAGCTTCCTGTAGCAAAACAAAACAAAACAAAAAACAAATGCATTACACACATGTCACTTCTTCCAGAAATGTCCAATCTAAACAGATTTAAAAAGGAAAATAAGAAGCCATATTAGTACATAGTTTCCAGAAGTCTGTGGTCTTTTAATTGAACGCATGATTAACAGGAACACAAGTGTTTTTGTAATACCCTGCATAGGAAGATGACTGAAGTTTGCTGAAAGCCACTTAAACAGAATAAAAGACATATATATTTAATAAAAGCTCATTAATGATAATACAAAATGATACCATCATGGATACAAATTGCTTTTATATTTGAAAATAATCTTTTAGTACCAGCAAGCACAACCAATAGTAGAATTTTAGGAATATTTTAACTGAGTCAGAAGCAAGATTTTATTCATTTATTTTTTAAAAACAGAATCTTGTTTCATTTTTGAAATCAAATTCACAAAGGGATTGCTTAATAAGGGCACTTATAATTGCTGATTTTCTAATGTTCTGAATCATAACTTCATTACTAGCTGCTTACAATTTATCAAGTTTCAGACTGCCATTTTCTCCTTTTTCTCAAATTGAAGTCATAAAGATATAATAAGTAAAAGAAATAAAATGTGTTTCATTTTTAAGAGCATTGCCATTTTCTTATGAGACTTTAATTAATGATAAATTTTAAACAATTCTTAACAAAACAATTATATATGTCTGATAACTGAGACATGGGACAGGTAGACTCATATGTTCTCACTAGACATTAAAAAGGCACTCTTAAACCATACTGGAAATCACTAGAGTATTTATACATAAAACACTGAGAACTGCAGAGTTATACATTGACCTCTAGAGGGGTGAGTAACTCAACGGTGCTCTGTTTAAAACCTCAACTGTATTCCTCTTGCCATATGCATTGGATCCCACATTGGTTGGTGAGAGCATGGAACCAAGATGGTTGCTGGATCGAACTAGGAAATTTGCCAGACGTTGCATTGCACAAGTGGCAGTGTTGCATTTCCGTTTTTCCACCTGATGACTGGTAACATGAAACAAATATGGAAGATTAGAGACTTCATATCTGGAAGGACTCAACTATATGATGAAAACTAAAGGAAATATTTTCACAACATAAGTAACTAAATGTTTGGATTGAAAATATTTGGATGACTGGCAGTTTTTTTTTTTTTAATTTTATTTTTTTACATTGTAAGATGCAGCAGATTTAATTTCTGACTGGAAAATTATATAACACACTCTCCATTATAGTCAGTATTGCATTGCCTACTCTGATTCTTTCCTTGGAAATTCAGAATATATTCTACATAAGGAAAAAATGTCTTTGTTTTATATTCTTCTAAATCTTAGTGATGAATTTATGTCTCCATACATAAAATGGATTTGCATAAAAGGTTAAGCACTCAACTACTAATAAAAAAGTTGGATGTTTGAGGCAACCTAGAGGCACCTTGGAAGAAAGGCTTGGTAATCTATTTCTGAAAGGTCAGAGTCTTGGAAACTCTATTAAGCACACTCCTATCTGATACACACGGGGTCACCATGAGTCAGGGTCAACTTCATGGCAATTAGTAACTGGTAAAAAAATAAGTTTAGATGTAAGGTATATCTGGAACTTGGAATATGTGGATTTTTTTTTAAAAGTATATTCATTTCTTAAATATTTTCAATAAAAGTTAAGCTACATTGGTTATTTTCAGTTAACTTCTCTTAGATGACTGAGTCAGGAACCTTAAGAGGGAAATGTCAGGTATTATAAAGTCTCAAGGGAACCATTTATCACTTGTTCAGGCACTTTGACTATTGTAGGGTAGGAGTTCTTCTACTCTTAGGATAAATACATGAATGTTACTATCTTCCTGTCACCTTTTTGGTTCCTATGCTTTTAACAGTTTTAATGATAAGATTAGGTTAAATGTTAAAACCAAAAAACTTTTTAATGTCAGTGGTATTAATATATATACCACATTTTTTCAACTATCTGAAACAATTGCATAATACTATTATAGATAAGTCAGAAATGATAATCATGATTCAAATGATTCACTTAATTTTAACTTCTATTTCTACTCACAGAAATTATTTATATGAGCTCTATATTTTTGTATTACCTTTTATTTAAACATGCTTTCACTATGGTATTACAAATTGATACTGAAGAATGGCATTAGTTCCTCTTTGCTGATTATTAAGAAAACTAGGAAATGCTTTAGCTTCATCTCTATAGAATTCAAGATATTGGTGAAACAGGATAAGTGTGAAGTGGGAAAGAGATACAGGTATGCAGCTAAAACTCAATGTCCTCAAGTCAGGATAGTCTGGGACAAAATTGAATATTAATAAATGCACTTAGTGCATTTATTTTATGTGTGGAGTAGTTCATTATCTGTGTTTCTGTATAGAGATAGCCTAAGGGCAAAAATTTTAAAGTTTTACCTGAAATATTAGGGGATTTATTCTTATATTTCTTCTCAAATACAGGAAATTCTTATAGCATCAGGTGAAGTGGATATTGGTTGAGTATAAATGTATGCTGACACACCAATTATTCAAGCAAAGGAAACCCACTTTAGACCTAATTAACTTGTATACATATCAATCTTATGCATACTTCCTGTTCAATTATTTTTCTTTGCATGTGTACTACTAAGCATTTCAAAAGAATGATTTAATCCTTTTAAGGGTTGAGCCAGTAATTATATACCTTGGACATAAAATTCTTAAAGATCATGAACTTTTCTTGGAGAACAGCAAGAACTGCAATCTGGCCCAGACAGTTCAGATTAATATATTTAAAGCAATAAAGGGAATTGTGGGTAAAATCGATAAAGTTCAAAGGGAGATCTGTCCCAAAATATGTTTGTCAAACACCTGGAGCACAGTGTGAAATATTCTGTGTGCTAAGTGTCTGAGAGGTAACTCAATAACTAGTCTCAAGGTCAATATTGTTAGGTGCCGTTGAGTCGGCCCAACTCATAGTGACCCCTCCTTGGGTTTCCGAGGCAGAATCACTACAGAAGTACATTGCCCAACCTTCCTTCTGAGGAGTGGCTGGTGGGTTTGAAGTGCCAGCCTTCTGGTTAGCAGTCAAGTGCCTTAGGCACTACGCTACCAGAGCTCCTCAAGGGCAGTAAGAGGCTTTAAAATTATTCCCTTAGCTGCTAACCTAAGAGCTCTAACTGCTAATCTAAGAGGGTCGCTGTGAGTTGGAATTGACAGCAATGAGTTTGAGTTTTAATTTGAGTTAGTTAGAAGGATCATTGTTCTACTTAAAAAAATATTAAAAGTCTTCAGCTTTGCTGTTTCCTTAATAAGAATTTTCACCTAAGCATACTATTCAATGTGTATAAGATTCTATCCAAAATAATTATTAGGATACAAAAAGTGGCTGAAACGGTTAGTGAGAAATATCATATTCCTACCTTGAGGTGTCTTTCCTCTTTGATTATCTGGGCAGACAAGGCCTGCCAGTGAATGTGGACCAGTAGGAAGCACATACACATATGGAAATTCTTGACTTAAATTTTAGTGATTTTTAGACAGTGATGACTATAGGTCTTTTTAAAACATTTTAGCTCCAAGGATTTTAAAAATGATCTAGGATCTCCCAGTTCTCCACTCCTAACATTCATGTTCAAGGTATTTAAGTTTGGCTCCTATGTAATTTTGTTTTCCACTAACATCTGATTACATGCCAGGTAAATATCTACAACAGAGGTAAAATAGTTAGTGGGCAAGCATGTAATCCTTTTGTCTCAATGATGTTTGTAAAGCAAAATAATAATATTTTTGGTATGGCTTTATTAAATCAGTTTTCTGCTTCTTAATCTTCTCCCATATAAGTATTAAAGTTGGAAAATTCACAAAAGAAATGATCAAATCTCATGAGTAAAATGACATGGAATACTAAATCTATGTTACCTTTCATTTTTAAAGGTATTTGAAATTTGAGACATTTTATACATAGGTTTTCTCAGCTTTAAAAGATATTTATAGAATATTACATATTTGCACAGCTCAGGATGATAAAAATTTCCCCCTGAAAAAATATCCAAAGACACTAATTTCTGGAAACAAATTGAAAAACAATTTTGAAAATGTTTTAGAAATATTTCTAATAACAAATCAACGTAAGAGATTGTGACACTGACGTAAAAGTAATTTGACAAGAACATTATGTACTATCCCATTTCTGAGTGAAGTTCACTTCATAATAAGCTAACATCCATGAAGCAGTTTGTTTAAAGATGCATAACAAATGTCTATATTTAATGAAGAAAAGATACGAGATACAGAGATGCTAGGTAACGCTCTAATATTCCTATTATCAATCAATTGTTCTGCTAGTTTATTAGAAACTTCATGTCAGCTTTGAAGTTACTTTTATCCATTAAAAAGCGAATTGAAAATTACAGTCAGTTCTAAGAACACCCTGTAAACTAGATAAGCCCTGAAATGACAAAAGAAAATCCTCTGATGATTTCTGCTATTTGTTAAACCTAGGTGTAATAGAGAGAGCTCTGGTGGTGTAGTGCCTAAAGGCATTTGACTGCTAACCAGAAGGCTGGCGGTTCAAACCCACCAGCCACTCCTCGGAAGAAAGGTTGAGCAATCTACTTTTGTAGTGATACAGCCTTGGAAACCCAAGGAGAGGTAGGTATGAGTCGGGTCCAACTTGACGGCAGTGAGTTTGGTATTTTGTTTTTATTTTCACTTGTAGTAGAAATCTTTGTATATGGCCAAAAACCTCCATCCCAACAGAAAACACTCCAAAGGAAAATAAAGACAAGATGCTGACAATTTTAATGTAAAGAGTTCTAATGTGAATTACAGCAAACTCTTTTCAAAAGTATAGTTAATTTTCCTTGGTTTTACAGAGTACATAAATTCAATCTCATGAGGCTCTATGGAGTCAAAACTGACTTAGGCACAAACACATGTTCATTATGTCATGAAATATGCATGGAACTGGACTTAAGAATTTAAAATAAATGGTGAATTAAATTTTAAAGGCATGCTGTTTTAAATTTGTAATTACTGCTGACATTTTCATCTGACATGATTTTAGACTTTTTTAAAATTGCCATTTAACTGACTTAACACCTTTCAATATGTAAATTCCTGGGAAATCCTGATGCAAATGCTACCTAATTATAACATTTCCAAGAAGCATTAATTTACATTTAGAGCAGCTCAGAAGTAATCTCATAGAGAATGATTTTTTTTTAACATAAAATTCTGTTTCATTAACAGAACAACTAGCAATATAGAATGAATCACTTAACAGCAAATGGCTTCTTAACTAGTTCTTCTAAATTCTTAAAAATTTTAATTTGCTCCCTATTTCCACATATTTCACTTGCCAAAAAGAGATGTAAAAGCTTTGGATATCCAAAGCCCTCTGAAAAAAGAAAATCTATGTAAATAAACAGTAATATTCTGCCTGATATAAAATACATGTTTTACCTAAGTATTCTCCAATTTCAGAATCAGGTTAACATAATATTAACATAGTAGAAATTTATCTTTTGATTTTTCCTGTTTCTTGCTCTGGCTTTGCCCCTCTAAGTTCCAACAGCCTATTTCTTGATAAAACTGGAACTATCCATTCCTGTCTGTCAGAAGTTCCATCAGAAAGATTCAGCAGCCACTGGCATTATTCTTTAAAGAACTCAGAATTCAAGGAACAATTGAACAGTTTAAGGTTCTGTTCTTAAGCATGATTTTATCAGGAATCTAATGGCACAAGGGCTGTGACTTATGTAGAAATATTTAATTCTAAGTTTCCCAAGTTTACAAAAAACCCCCAGCATTTTGAAGTTACTAACCTTTCAACGGGTGTAGCTTTCAGATGGTTTACTGCAAGAGACAGCAAAATGAGAACTATTGGAAGCTTCAGGATGCACATTGCTTCTCAAGTTTTCTGAAAAGAAAGACCCAGCACTGAAATCAAGAATTTATAATAGCTGTAACTTAATGGAATTCTAAACTAGAACTTAATTAAAACAACAAACAGGTCTTTTTTTTTTTTTTTTTAACATAATCTACAAAGACCTTAATTTCTATTGCTACAGACCCTTAATACTATTTAAAAAATTTTCCAAATTTTTACTTCCCCAATTTCCTCCTCCAAAAAAATCTGCAACATAAGTATTCTAGTACATTTTCACCTTAGCCTGTTCCTAAAACAAACCATATATTTAATACCAAGTCTGCCCTTTTCTGAATAAATAATGCTTTCCCAGAAATAGGAAATTATTTACCTTTTAATGTTTCAGTATCAGCAATATCAGAAAATGCCTTTGACAGCAAGGAAGCTTCATGAAAAATCCCAGACTTGCATTCACTGGAGTATTTACCCCCACTTGCTAACTAGTAATCCAGTTCTTCTATACCCTTCACTTCTTGGCTCTGACATCAGGCAGCTCAGACACTCTGTCATTAATTTCCATCCCTATGGATAGAAAGTGCCCCATAGACCACAGAAGCAGATGGGTCATTATTACACTAACACATCATTGAATGTTAACATAGCAGATACAGATGTTTTTATACAGTTACTAGTGTGTCATACACAGTAGAAGTCTGAATTTTTCATCTGTAAAACACCAGAGCGCATTTACAAGGCTTAAGTAAAGTATGAAGTAGTAAGAAATTAATAAAAAGAGATGATTAAGAATAACAATACACGTTTATAAGGAAAAAGCAAAGCCAGGGACATAGAGGAGATATTACTAAATCCGTGTGACACAAATGTCTTAATTTCATGGACATTCTGTAAGACTGAGCCATAAAAGCAAGGCATATAAATGAGGGATATAAAAGAAAAGTCATAAAACCTATTTTCAATGATGTATGTGTGAGGTGCGTAAAAGCATAAAAAAATAATTTTCAGGCCCTAAATTCATTTTCTCTGTATTTAAATGCAGTTCAATACAGTCAAGCTGATTTTTTCCCTTAATTATTACTTGGAAATATCACAATTTTTTTTAAGGAATAGACTTTTACTTTTAGTTTCATGAGAAAATTACGAATAGCTTGACTCAACAAAGCACTTCTCTAATTTGTCTTTTAAAATAACTTGGTAGCTTAAATGTTCCCCAAAACATGTTTTTCTTTTCTTTTATTTCCTTGTATTTCTAAGTTATACATAAGTTATATTCAACATTATAACAACTTTATTATTATATTCAGCAACTAAAATACATTCTGTTAGTAAAAATGTGCATATCTGAGTAATTGAGAAAGTTAGAAGTTCTCCAAGTGAAAACTTCGGTTAACTAATTTCATCTACTTCTTTAAAGCTTAGGAATATAGTCGGAAGGAGCCTTAGTGAAGCAGTTGGTTGCTAACTGAAAGGTTCGTCGTTTGAATCCAATAGCTGCTCCAGGTGAGAAGGTTCTTGGCAATCCGCTCCTGTAGGATTTATGTTAAGTAGCCTAGGAAACACTATGGGGCAGTTCTACTCCATCCTATAGGGTCACTATGAGTTAGAATTGACTCAATGGAACTCAGCAACATAGTTTGAGGATGTTTAATAGAGATTTTAGGAGGACAAAAAGAAACATTTTTTTCCAATCCTTGTTCTAATTATACTATAATTTTTAAAATTCTGTGAAATTTACTGATATTCCAGCAGGAAAGAAAGCATACGTCAAAGGATTTGGAAGACAATATTGTCCTATAAGAAGGTCCTATAATAAGGTGTATGCAGAGATTTTGGAAATAATACAGAGACCAAGAAATGTTAAATAACTTGTCCAAGTTTCACACATCTAGTTAGTATTGAACCGTGGACTAAACCAAGCCTTTCTGACTCAAAGGTTAGTGTTCAATTAGACCAAAATGCATGTCTCTAACTCTTATGTTTATCTTTCCCCCATACCTTTATCCCCCCTTTCAGATGTTTAAGATGCCAAACATAATATTCAAAATTTGATTCTCCCTCACCCACTTGGAAAATAATGTTATACGGAAAATGTTCTACCTAAGAAAGGAATAGGAGGAGTTAATATTTTTTAAATAAGGACTATCATATATCAGGCACAGTAATTTATTTGTAATTCCTCACTTCATTTTCACACCTCTAAGTTGGTATCATTTGCTGCAATTGATAGATGATGAAACTGTGATTTAGAGAATATAGGTGACTTGATTAAAGTTACATGGCTACTCAGGAGCAGAGTGAAATTCAAATTCTCTTCTGTCTGTCCCAGGATATTTATTCTCTTGGTTAAAAGGGATCTCTCCTCCTGCATACGAAATTTACAATAGCTTCCTCTAAGTTTTGTGCCTTATTATAACATTTTGAATGGTTTTATCATAACCACATGTGACCTTATATTGGTTTTGTGTAGTGTTTCAGGTCAATATCTACCTCAATCTCAAACAGGTTCAGGTTTTATATGCTTTTTCTATACAAATGAGAGTGAAAGTGATGTTTGATAATTAAGGATCTCTTTACATAGTAACCCCTATTACCAGATCCTGAGTTCTTTCCTACAGAATAAACATCACTTATCACTCATCCTTTTATCCCCTCTAGTCCTGCTGTTAAAGTGTGGCTTAGACACTGGCAGCTTCCACATCATCTGGGAGCCTGTTAGAAATGCAGGACCTCAAGTTAGATCTGCTGAAACAATCTGCATTTGAACAAGATTCCCAAGTAATTGTATGCACTTTAGATTTGGAGAAAAACTGTCCAAAGTGCATTACATTTATTCATTGATTCACACAATATTTACTGAGAACAGTGACAGGGATTGTAATAGATCTTGGAGGTACACAGTGAACAAAACAAAGTCTCTGGTTCCTTCACAAAGGAAACTTCACTCAGATTTCATGAGAATAGGCAAAACAAGTAAACAAACAAATATGTAATTATAAAAGTGGTGGTTAAGACTGTGGAGAAAAACAATATGAGGTTGTAAGAAAGAAAAATGGTGACATTGAAATTGAGTCCTAAATCATAATAGCTGAACAAGCAAAGGGTTATGGGGAAGTATTCATGACTAATGAACTACCTGTGCACATTCAAGTGAATGAAGGGGGAAATAGTGCAAAGATGATATTGGAGACATGAGCAGGGACCTGATGGTACAGTGCTCTAAAGACTGTGTTGAATAAAACCAAACCAAAGTCACTGCCTCCAAGTCAGTTCCAACTCCTAGCGATCCTGCCTTTGGTTTCTGAGGCAGTATGTCTAGGAAGTAGATTTCCCAGTTTTCCTTCTGAGGAGTATCTGGTGGTTTGAATTGTCAGCCTTCTGATTCTTCAAATGCCTTAGGCACTACGCCACCAAGACTATGTTGAGAACTTTGGACTTTTTCTAAAGGCAATGAGAAGCTACTTAAGGGATCTAAGCAGGGCTGTGACATGCTTTGCTTTGCATCTCTAAAACAGCAGGCTGTGCAACACAACAAAACACTGTCTGATCCTGCGCCATCCTCACACACCCATCATTGCAGCCACTGTGTCAATCCATCTTGGTGAGGGTCTTCCCCCTTTAAACTGGCCCTTTACTTTACCAAGAGTGATATCCTTTTCTGGGTATCCCTTCTGACAACATGACCAAAATAGTTGAGATGGAGTCTGGCCACTCTTGTTTCTAAGGAGCATTCCAGCTGCACTTCTTCCAGGACAGTATAATAATCCACTAACGTTTTATTATTAGAAAAATATATATACAACATTTAACTTTTAGTAAATACAGGAACCTCCTTGAGCTACAGGAATTATGTCCAAAGCTATCTGATTTTGGAACACCACCTTTCTCATGGCTGCAGTTTATTTATTTATTTAAGGCAACTGGTCTACATTCTGTGTTGTTCAAGGCTGAGAAGACAAAGTTTTGCAGAATTTTAATCTTAGCCACAGTATTAACATTTTCTATATTAGGGTGAATATCTTGTAGCATAAGCAGGTGCTGCTGGCCAAAAAATGCTGAGTATTACTCTAATTGAGCAGGGTTTCTATGGCATGAAGGATATACAAGAGTGAGGGGATTTTTATAACACCATGTCTGAGGATGTTTTTACTAATTTTGCTGCTGTAGCCATAGCTTTTAAGCACCTAAGCATGGCCTTGGTTACAGGCTCTTGTCATAAATTCTAACATGCTACAGGTCTCTTTAGTTTCATGTTCTTGAGCTAATACCTCAAGGGCTTGACCCTCTTGTTTATGAACGTAACAGCAAAAAAGACTTATCTTTGTTCTTGAGGCAGACAAAACAGTAATTTATTCTTGGAGACTTTGAGGTACTTCGAAGCTATTTTTTGCAAAGTTATAATGAATTAATTTGACTATCATTCAGAATATCACAGCATAAAAGTTATCTACACATTGAAGCTCATAGTTAGGAACTTCTTAGAAGGCACAGTATCTTTGCCTTCTACGCAGATTATACAGAAGATAAAGTTAACTTCATAATCTTTTATTCAGAGCAACCCAATGATTAAAGAAAATTTTATCATTTTATCAGAGAGAAAACTAAATTTTAGTTTTGCATACTATTTGATATTTAAAGCTTTATAAATAAGTGAAACTAAATGTACGTGTAATGTTGAATGTAAAACAAACTCTTAAATAAAAAATTTAAAAAATAAAGCTTTATAAATAAACCTACCAAATCTTAGCTTTAACCATAAGAAATAACATTTTTTTATAGAACAACTTATGAAGTGGCAAAAAATGAACACCTTCATTAGAAGGGCCAAATTTATATATATGTCTTCTCTGTGGCATATATACATACAAGGAGCACTGGTGGTACAGTGGTTAAGACATTTGGCTGCTAATCAGAAAATCAGCAGTTCAAATCCACTACCTGCTCTGTGGGAGGAAGACAAGACAATCTTACTTGAGTAAAAATTTACAGCTTTGGAAACCCTGTGGGCAGCTATGAGTCAG